CTGCCGAGCGGCGGATTTGGGAGAGTAATATGGCTGATCCACGGGAGTGCTGAGCAGTTCGTGTCTCCGCACGGCGCCGGGCTCGGATTTTAACATGTAAATAACTTCTCTTTCCTCCGGATAATACGCGTGGGCACCGATGCCAGCCCCTCCATTTTCCAGAAGGGATTTGTGAGAGGTTCCAGAGGGCTGGATTATGTTGTGCAAAACCAATTCGCTGGGGGTGAGTATATCTGGCGTTTAACTTCTTTGTATTAAAGGGCAAAATGTGACAGCAGGCACAGAGCTATATATGGCAATCTGCACTATAATTCTGTGGGGAGAGGTTGTTTGGGGGGTGTCAGCGCAGCCAGGAGGTGTGGGACCTGGAGCACCAGCCTGGAAACTTAGCAGGAGCACCGAGGTGCCTCTGACGCTCGAGAGAGGAAAATTTTACACCCTTCGGTCAAAAATCTCTCTCTTGAATTCAGATATGTATATATAGATCTGGGTTATACGTTCGCTAGAGAAGCCTCAGCCGTTTAAAACAAACAAACAAAAAAGCCCAGCTCAGGTCTGACCTATATCCTGTAACGAATAATCTGGTCATTTGTTCTAAGTGTGTATGTGTGTACACCAGTACTCACGCACATGTGGGTGCGCACACACACACACACACACACACACACACATTTTCTTTTAAAATTAGGACTTTATATGATTACTGTGGTACAAGTCTTTTTTTTTTTTTTGAAAGCTGTTTCATTTCCTGATGTGAATTCTGGAGTGATGGAAAATGTAAAAATTGAATATGAACAGGAATATTTTTTTCCTAAATATTTTTAAGTACACTGTACATGCTTTTTGTGTGTGTGCAAAATAGAACCAATTTATTTTTGCATGATTTCAAAGCGTGCTTGCATTGATGTTCATTTTAGATCTTCCCAACTACCTTTATCTATAGTTCTAAATTTAAAAAGCCTAAACATTTTTTAAAATAAACAATGTGCATAGCACATAATGGCTGTTCCTACCCTCTAATACAATGATTTTTGTGTGAACAGTGAGCAAATAGGTCATAAGTTAAAGTAAGTGTTATGTAACTGACTTGCTTCAGCAAAGTTGATGCAAAGTGTAAAGAAATGTTAAGTGTATGTATATATATATTTCTTTTTTTTTTTTAAGTGGACGAGATAAGTGGCTAGGTCTCTCTTTTTGAGTGGAATTACTTTGTAGCAGGTTGATTTAAAAAAAAAAAATTACACTTTAAAAATATGGGCCAGTTAATTTGTGTAGTGTTATATATTTTCCAAAAAACTATTTTGGTCATATACCTAATTCTGGATACTAAATATCAGATATTCACCAGTGAAACACTAGTTAATACTGTAGCCACAATCATTACATAATTGAAAAATGTTCATGACTTAGTGTGGTTTTTATTTAACTTTCCTGTTTTCTAGAGTAGTATTATTTGGCATAATTATAGTTTTTGAAGGAACTGAAGATGGATATGAAAATAGTTTCATGTTTTTTGTGACTGAAATAAAGCAGTAATGGGCTAATATTTCTGTTGCAAAACTAACACGAATAGGCAGACATTTAAAGGTTTTCAGTGGTTATATAAAATACTACATGTCAAAGTAAACAAATTAGTAAGCTTTAGCATCCACGTAGGGTTTTTGTGTTCTCTGCGCATCACGTTGTTGCTAGTGTGTTGTGTTGGGTGTTCCTGCACAATAAAATACACTTGCTATGGAAGAAACTGCAGCTCCCAGACTGTTTAGTGCAAATATTTTAATCATCTCCTTGTAAGACAAATTAAGAAAGGAGACAAGATGTACTTTTATCAGTGCTAATATGATCAGCTGCATCTGTGCTACCCATTCATTAGTCTCACTAATGGCTGCTATACGTTTTATTTGTTAAAGTACTGGTGGCTGTCTCCTTTACTGCTTTATTGTAAATATCTTTTCTTTTGATTGTATGCTTGGAGCTTATTGAGTAGCTGCATTTTTTATTTGTTTGCCTCACTTGCAAGTATTCTCTGTAAACTGTTTTACAGCTCTCCTCGTCTTGTATGTGTTCCATGCAAAATAATATGCAATGTTCTGTCTACATGAAATCTAGATGCTCTTAGGGAGAAATGCTGTTCATTCCCTTTTGTAGGTGCTGTCACTGAGTTTTGATATAGTTATTTTGTCACGCTGTGTGCTGGGTTGACTTATACCTCGTTTATTCCTGTGCTATTCTTTCCCAAACAGAAACTCCTGCAGAGTTTTGACAAAATGTTTGTTGAGAGATTTGGGGGGGGGAGGGGTGGCCTTACTGTCATTTACATATTTTGCTAGTGGAAAGTAGTTGCATCATGTAAGCTTTAACATGTGATTGTTCATTGGACTTGCCTGAAAAAGATATCATAAAGATAAATGGCAGAGCAATAATGAAAAGAAGGCCGTGTATTGATTTCTGCTTTTGTTTCAGACTAAAAGAACCATTTGGCGTATGCTTGAGAGGGTATTTCCAGCCTGAAATTTAGTCAGCTATATGAAATAAAGTTGAAAGTATTCTGTTATCTTGACTGCTCTCAGTTCTTACAGCTTTGCAGCTCTGTTTTCCTGTTCTTAAAATGTGGATAGAAAACACTTAGTACAGAACAGTATACACTTTATACTAGAAAGTGTTCAGCTGAAGAAAGGGGAAACTGACTCTAAAATGTTGTCAAAAGCACACTCTAAACAAGCTAAAGGAGGAATACTTTTTTATTTTCTTCAGACCATTCCAATTTTAGCAATTACTAAGGTTCTGGAAACTGTAGTATGTAGTGTGTTTTCAGAAAGAAGCCTTAAAAAAAAAGTTGACAGTAGGCCTTCAGCTAGTCTTTTATAATTCTGTCTTTCCTCTGTGAAATCCTTTTGGCATGTTTTTGTTCACTGGCAATATCCCAAGATGTGATATCACAGATATCAGATGTCTTACTGCAATTCATGGCATTTGCTATGTCACCGTGTTGCATTCTGGGATAACCGAGGTGAACCAGGAAATGTCATAAAAATTTTATAGGGAAAGTGGTATGGTAGAGAGATAGTAATGTTGTATTGAGAATGGGTGGCTACTTTCTGTTTAAGAGCATTCAGATCTTTGTATTTGTAGTCTGGGGTGGAATCTTCAGCAAACGAATGCGTTTTTAACTGGGTGGTGTTTACAGATTTTTTTCCTAACACTGAACATCTTTGGTTAAACGCTGATCGAAGAGAGTGGCAAAACATCGTAGCTAACCTTGTTCCTTTGAAAATATCTTTGATTTTTAAAAATGGAAAAAATGGATCCTAATTATATGTGGCCTTGTTAGGATTTATTTTCATCTCAGAGTTGAAGTGCAGTGCCAGGCCTACATGTAGATTGTATTGCACATATGGAGGATATTTGAGTCCTCCATAAGATGTGGTGAGTTAGTTATAGTAACATACACGTTTTTGTCTGTCTCTTACATGCAGTCTCTCTCGTGTATATTCGCTGTTGAAATGTTACACAGTAAGTGAAGTTTCTGCTAATTGTGCTTTTGTGCTATAGCTAGAAAATAAATAAATTAGCGTTGGCTACTTTGACCCATGTTTGCATCCCAGTTGTCCAGTGTTGAAAGGTAAATGCTGGAGTAATATTACTTAATTAGACACTCATAGAAAGCGGAGGCTTGGGAGAAGTCTGTGAATTTGTTTGTTTGTTTAGTCAGGACTTGCAGTTCTCAGGCGTAATTTTATTTCAGCAATGTATTCTTTATTTTAGATGGAACTGAGTGTATTCATTCTGAACACAAGCACTTCCATGTTGTTTTTCCTTTATGCTTTCCTATCTCCTTTTTTCCTCATTACTATCCTTAGTTTTAATTTGTGTGCCTAAAATGGCCTAGTACTGTGAAAAGATAATGTAGATTGCTTTTGTAAGACTCTATTCAGGAAGAAGAATATGTGAGGGCAGACTTTTTTTTTGCCTATTTTTTAGTTAGCCTTCTGCCCTAAACAGCTACGGTCTAAATTATTCTCTTGCCCCTGGTAGTGTCTAACCCCAAATGCTTCAGAGAAAGATGTGACAGACTCTGAAGTGGGCAGTTACGGAATAATCGTTGCATGGGGAATCTGTTTGAAGTGGGATTATGCTATGAGGAATAAGAGCGATGTTTTTTTTTCCAGCATTTAAACAACCTCAAGTGGAATTCTTATTTATGCCTGTAGTTTTGCAGAAATAAACCCTTACAAGTAGTTTGATTCAGAAAAGGTAGAAGTTTGACAGAGTTGGAAGGTTTTTCTAAGTGGGAGGAATGGTATGAAAAGATAAAATGTGTTGTTGAGAATAGAAGGGAAGGGATATGTTGGATGGGATTGTACAAGGCTGCATGTATGGGGCCATGAATAGAAGGACTAAGGTTTTTGCCTTTATTTCCGTCTTGTTGCACTTCCACTTGAGTTTTGCAGTACCACTGAGAAGGAGCTAACCTTTCCGAACAAGTGAGAAGATACTGAAGGTGGTCAAGGAGAGCGATAAGGGAATGTGTCTAGAAACTTTTCTAATCGTTTTCAGGGTTATTTGACCTGGGCCAAATAATAAAAGGTGTGTTAGCTATTGTCATTGCTGTGTCAGACTTGCCTTGCGCTGTGTACAAAAGGTTTGGTCACAGTGTCATTGCAGGAGCTGCAATTTATTATATGTTTAGAATTGCCATAAAATGGAGGCCTGGGTTGAAAAGTTCTAGTATAACCTTTGGTAGACTTTTCTTGTTTGAAAAATTTCACTTTGACTTTAAGATATTATAGTCAAAGGGTAATTGCACATAGGAATGGGTGCAGAAGCAAGGTAGAGTGCTTTTGGGAGAATCATGGTTTGCAGTGTCCAGAAAGGGGGAATCTGGAGTTACAGGAATGTAAGACAGATAGGAGCTTGAGGATGAGAAGCGTAGACTTCAGTCTCTTTCTTTCATCTTAATCCATCTTCATGCAATTGTTTGTTTATGAACAAGCTTTCTTTTCAAGTGCATTTAACCATCTTTTCCCTTCGTTGAGCACTTGTTTTGTTTTCTGCTTGTTAAAGGAAGCAGAGTTTTCAAATTAAAACAGTTGCAATAGCGATGTAAAGACAGTGTTACAGAGCTGCAGAAGTAGCAACTATTATAATTTGAAGTCTAGTTGGCAGAGTGTGAGAGTGAAGAAGATTTGAAGATTTTTGAAAGTGATTTGTGTGGATTAGGGT